CTTCTTCTTTTCTTGCTTTTTTTTTTTTTGGAACAGAGGTCTTCTCTGTTACCCAGGCTGGAGTACAGTGGCATGATTCTTGGCTCACCTGCAAGCTCAACCCCCGGTTCACGCTGTTCTTCTGCCTCCAGCCTCCTGAGTAGCCGGACTACACAGCGCCCCACGGACCACAGCCCTTTGGGGGCTATGGTCTCGATCTCCTGACCTCGTGATCCGCCCGTCTCGGCCTCCCAAAGTGCTGGGATTACAGGCTTGAGCCACCGCGCCCGGCCTCTTCTTTTTCTTTTAACTGCGTATCTATGTGAGACTGAATTTTCCTCATAGACTTCAGCTAAAACTGTTGCAGCAGGCTGAGAGCAGACATAGATGTGAAGATCCATTGCTTCCATTGAGGCAGACAATACAAATGTAAAATACAGCTTCTCACCAGATTATTTGTCTTAGAAAATAGTTTTTTTTTTTTTTTTTTTTTTTTTTTTTGAGTTGGAGTCTCGCTCTGCCGCCCAGGCAAGAGTGCAGTGGGTAGATCTCAGCTCACTGCAAGCTCCGCCTCCCGGGTTTACGCCATTCTCCTGCCTCAGCCTCCCGAGTAGCTGAGACTACAGGCGCCGCCACCTCGCCTGTCTAGTTTTTTGTATTTTTTAGTAGAGACGGGGTTTCACCGTGTTAGCCAGGATGGTCTCGATCTCCTGACCTCGTGATCCGCCCGCCTCGGCCTCCCAAAGTGCTGGGATTACAGGCTTGAGCCACCGCGCCCGGGCCTTTTTTTTTGAGACGGAGTCTCGCTCTGTCCCCTGGGCTGGAGTGCAGTGGCATGATCTTGGCTCACTGCAAGGTCTGCCTCCTGGGTTCACACCGTTCTCCTGCCTCAGCCTCCCAAGTAGCTGGGACTACAGGCGCCTGGCTAATTTTTTGTGTTTTTAGTAGAGATAGTGTTTCACCGTGTTGGGCCAGGATGGTCTTGATCTCCTGACCTCCTGATCTGCCCACTTCCCAAAGTGCTGGGATTACAGGCGAGCCACTGCGCCCAGCCAAGAGAATAGTTATTCTTTATAAAAATGTTATGTATGGTAACATGCAGTGGGCTTATTTTCAAATCATTTAATAAACAATTTTAGAACATCTCAGTTTTAATTTATAGCATAGTAAATATTGATAGATCAAACCCTCATAAACAAAAGCCCCTGGGGTCCTTAATAGTTGAGGATGTAGGGGGACCTGAGCTGAAATATCTGAGCAGCGCTGGTTTAGAGAGTGGGCCAGGCCCAGGGCACCTGTGGGGACCAGAGAAGTTCTCAGCTGGAGGCAGGCACCCTGTCCCTGCCCCCATGTGCAGTACTATAGGATTGTGCCTTTTCCTGGAGAGAAGAACCGAGATTTGTCAGCGGTGCAGACCCATTGGTGTAGCGTGAGAAGAGGCCCTTGTATTAGGGATGTACAGAGGAAGAGAAACACATAAAGGAGTGACCAGACGTTGGGAGACCCAGCACTAGTGTCATGGAGCCTACAGAAGGTATTCTGAGAGCAGAGGGAATGGTCTGAAGTTGGAGCTGGATTCATCAGTGGTAGAGATTGCTGAGGGCCAGTGAGTTCCAGTGGGGTGAGGAGAGTCTTGTAGGAAAGTAGTCGGAGAGACAAGTGTGGGGCTAGGGGAGGCTCTGTCTGCACGGATTTTAGATGGGAATACTGAGAGGGCGGCGCCCATAAAGGGAAAGGGGAGAGATCTTTCATAAAATACATATTCAGGGCCGAAGATGTGTCAAGGAGGGGCAGGTGATGAGCAGTGAATAAGATATGCTAACTTGCTTTGATGAGAGACACGTCACCTGTGAGACAGTGGGAAAGGTTGTGTGCTGAAAAAGATGGCGGATGAGTCTGTTGTAGGGCTCTAGGCATTGCTGGTGCTTCCATGTTGAAAAGGATGGTGAAAACATTTGAGGAGAGAGTAGGAGGAGGTGAGAAGACAGACTGAAACTAGGCCTCATAAAACTTAAAAAATTAGCACCAGGTGGCCCTAGATAGGGTCCCACCCTGCCTCGATAGGGTCCCACTCAGATAGGGTCCCACCCTGCCAATTCCGGGAAACAACCTCATGGGGTCCCACCCTGCCAATTCTGGGGGTCCCACCCTGCCTCGAAGTTCCCAGAATTAACAACTCCTGGAAAGGACCTCATAAGGTCCTGCTCTAACCAATTAAAACAAGACACCTTGCTCAGGCCGTAGCTAGACCCAATTATTTTGCGCCTTAAGCTTTGTTTGAATTTCGCACCATAAGCTGTGTTTGAACTTGTGTTTGCCTATATAAACAGCATGTAACAAGCAGTCGGGGTCCCAGGGCCAACTTAGAGCTTGGGACCCTAGCGCGCTAGTAATAAATAACTCTCCGCTGTAAAACTCGTGTCGGTAATCCTTCGCGGCAACCCCTGCCCAGGAGAAAATCAACAGTTCGGTTCCTACAAGACCAGACAGACATCTGGGAAAAGAGGGTTCCAGGCAGGAGAAGCCCCAAGTCAGGGCTGTGCTTGGACTTGGAATTGAAATAAGTCCTGGAAAATTGGTTAATCCCCACTTGGCATACATATTATGTGATTATGTGTTGGGAGAGGTACTTGAAGGTTTTCCTGTTGAAATAAATTCCCTGCAACCTTGGCCTTCCAGTCCCTCTGCCTGACACTCCCATGGCAGTTGGCACACTTGCGTTTTGCCCTGTTGAAGATGCCTGTGCCATTAGCTTGCATTTGTTGGGTACCTTCCTTGCATCAGGCGCCATGCTGAAAACTATGCTGTTACTGCGTGGTCCTCACATCAGCTCTGATAGGTGCTGTTAATAGCTCCATCTTACAGATGACTGGATGTACAAGGAGATCAGGCAGCTGGCCGTGGTGACAGTGGAACCCATGCATGAACTCAGTTCTTGGGTCATTGCTCCTGGAGCCTGTGCAGTATAGACCTGCCGACATGAGCTCTTTCTCCCCATTCATCTGAGAAGACTTCTGTGTCTGCATTTGCCTCTTCCTATGTTAACAAAAGGAACATTTTTCCACTGGAAAACAGTTACTAACAGTTTTATCTTGTCAGGGGCTCCTTCTATTATACTTTCAAACATGCCTAAATCTTATATAACTCAACACCCAGTTAATCTTGGTATCTGTTCTAGCCACTCTTACTGTTTTTCTCTTTTTAAACTTCCCAGTCTGTTTCCATTGCCTCCACCATCTATCCTGTCCTCTTTCTCTGGAGATCTTGTTCGTGTTGTCTCATTTTTATTTTCAACTTTTTCATTTTGCTAATAAAAATGTCTAAGATGTTCATTGTAGTAAATTGGGGGTTGGGCATAGTGGCTCATGCCTGTAATCTTAACACTTTGGGAGGCTGAGGCAGAATCACTTGAGGCCAGGAGTTTGAGACCAGCCTGGGCAACACAGCTAGTCCCTGTCTCTGTTTTTTTTTTTAAAATAAATAAAATTTTATAAAAGAGGGAAATTAGGAACATACAGCAAAAATCTGTAATCTCTCGATCAGGAAATAACCACGTAAGATTATTATGTTTCTTCTAGTGTTCTGTATTTCTCTTTTTTTTTTTTTTTTTGAGACGGAGTCTGGCTCTGTCACCCACGCTGGAGTGCAGTGGCGCGATCTCGGCTCACTGCAAGCTCCGCCTCCCGGGTTTACGCCATTCTCCTGCCTCAGCCTCCCGAGTAGCTGGGACTACAGGCGCCCGCCACCTCACCCGGCTAGTTTTTTGTATTTTTTTTTAGTAGAGACGGGGTTTCACCGTGTTCGCCAGGATGGTCTCGATCTCCTGACCTCGTGATCCGCCCGTCTCGGCCTCCCAAAGTGCTGGGATTAAGGCTTGAGCCACCGCGCCCGGCCGGTGTTCTGTATTTCTCATGCATGTGTGTGGAGATGTTTTTCCTCGGATTGGGGGTCCCACTCTGTGTGTGTGTGTGTTGTTTTTTTTTTTTTTTTTGAGACAGAGGCTCACTTTATTGCCCAGGCTGGAGTGCAGAGGCACGATCTCGGCTCACTGAAACCTCCACCTCCCCAGCTCAGGTGATTCTCCTGCCTCAGCCTCCTGAGTAGCTGGGATTACAGGCATGCGCCGCTATGCCTGGCTAATTTTGTATTTTTATTAGAGACGGGATTTCACCATGTTGGCCAGGCTGGTCTCAAACTCCTGACCTCAAGTGAGCCGCCCACGTTGGCCTCCTGAAGTGCTGAGATTACAGGCATGAGCCACCATGCCCAGCCTGTATATATAGATTCTTAAAATTATGATTTTTCCACTTTGTAATTGTTTCCAAATGTCATTCATCTTGGAAAACGTGACTAGTAATTATGTAGATATCAGTGGTATTTTTTGTACCTGTATCCATATGCTGGACATCCTGGTTCTGCCATCTCAGATTTGAGGTCTGGAGCAGGCTATTGAACATCTCTACCTCAGTTTTCTTGTCTTACAGGATTGTTGTGAGGACTGAATGACATGCTACACATAAAATTCTTAGCTTCAAGCCAAGCAGGACCTCAAAGTGTTAGCTTCCAGTACCGCTACTACTGATGCTGTTTGACTCCTTGCCTTCATTCCTGAAATGCTTCTCCATTGACCAGGTGTGTTGGCTCATGCCTATGACCCTTATCACTTTGGAAGACTGAGGAGGGAAGATTGAGACCAACCTAGGCAACATAGTGAGACCCCATTTTTGCACATGTGCGCACTTGCCCACTGGTTCATGCATGTGCACGCTTGCTCTCGCTCTTTTCTCTCTCTCTCTCTGTGTCTCTTGTGCGCGCATGTGCGTCTTCTCTCTTGCGCTCTCTTTTTCTTAACTGGGCCTGTTGGCATACACCTGTAGTCCCAGCTAGCTGTCTAGGAGGCTAAGGTGGGAAGATCGTTTGAACCCAGGAGTTCGAGGCTGCAGTGATCTGATTGTTCGACTGCACTCCAGCCCTGTCTCTATTCAAAGAAAAAGGAAAAAAGTCCTTCTCCAAGCTGATCTGAGCACTTGATTTCTATCCTTGTGGTTCTGGCTTAGTAAAGGTCTTCAGAAATTACACAGTGTTAGTTTCCTGTGGCTGCTGTAGCAAATCATCACAAGTTGGATGGCTCAGAATGGATTGATTCCCTCAGTTCTGGAGGACAGAAGTCTGAAATCAGGGTGTTGGCCCCAGTGCCTCTGAAGGCTCCAAGGGAAGACCCTTCTTTTCCTCTTTCTGGCTTCTGGCGCGTGCCAGCAGTGTGGCTTGTAGAGGAGCCGCTCTCTACCTCTGTTTTCTGTGGGCTTTTCTCGGTGTCGCTATTCTCCTTATAAGGACATAGTTATTAGATTAGGGCCACCCTAATTCAGTATGACCTCGTTTTAACTTAACTAATCATACCTGGAAAGACGCTCCAAATAAAGTCACATTCCCACGTTCCAGGTAGACGTGAATTTTGGGGGAGACACTGTTGAACCTGCGACAGTTCCTGGAGCTTCATCCTTCGCCCCTTGTGTTTCTAGCTGTCTCCCATGTCTTCCCATTCCCCCTGTGGCCAGGCTTGTGAAATGAAGTCTCCGTTGGAGGTTGAAGAAACTTGTAAGAGAATTTAAATAGAAAAAGGGGCTGGATGCAGTGGCTCACGCCTGTCATCTTAGCACTTTGGGAGGCCAAGATGAGAGGATCACTTGAGCCCAGGAGTTCATAGGTGCAGTAAGCTATGATTGTGTCACTGCACTCCAACCTTGGTGACATAGCAAGACCCTTCCTCTAAAACAAAACAAAATAGAAAAAGGTAAAGTGTCCTTGGCCAGGTGTGATGGCTCATGCCTGTAATCCCAGCACTTTGGGAGGCCAAGGCAAGTGGATTGCTTGAGGCCAGGAGTTTGAGACCAGCCTGGCCAACATGCCAAAACCCTGTCTCTGCTAAAAATACGAAAGGTTAATAGAGTGTGGTGGCGTGCACCTGTGGACCCAGCTACTCAGAAGACTGAGGTATGAGAATCACTTGAACTGGAGAAGTTGAGGTTGCAGTGAGCTGAGATCACACCACTACACTCCAGACTGGGAGGCAGAGCGAGACTTTGTCTCAAAAAAACAGAAAAAGATAAAATGTCTTATAAGCATGGGCCCCCAACTCTTCCTGCGTGGTCAGTTAGGAGCCGGGCTGCACAGCAGGTGAGAGGTGGGCACGCGAGCATTCCCGCCTGACCTCCACCTCCTGTCAGATCAGTGGCAGTGTTAGATTCTCATAGGAGCGTGAACCCCGTGGTGAGCTGCACACGTGAGGGATGTAGGCAGTGTGCTCCTTATGAGAATCTAATGCTTGATGATCTGAGATGGAACAGTTTCATCCTGAAACCTTCCCCGCTGTGGAAAAATTGTCCTTCACAAAAACAGTCCCTGGCGTCAAAAAGGTTGGGGACTGCTGCTATGAGGATTCTGAATGCTTCGCAGAACGAAGTGCAGGAGGCACTTTTTTATTTTTAGACAGGGTCTCACTCTTTGTCCCCCAGGCTGGACTGCAGTGGCGCCATCTCAGCTCACTGCAACCTCCGCCACACAGGCTCAAGCAATTCTCCTGTCTCAGCCTCCCAAGTAGCTAGGACTACAGGCGTGTGCCAGCACGTCCAGCTAATTTTTTTTTTTTTTTTTTTTTTAGAGATGGAATCTTGCTCTGTCGCCTAGGCTGGAGTGCAGTGGTGAAATCTCATCTCACTGCAACCTCTGCCTCCCAGGTTCAAGCAGTTCTCCTGCCTCAGCCTCCCAAGTAACTGGGACTACAGGTGCATGCCACCACGCCTGGCTTTCCCGGTGCTTTAGTAGAGACGAGGTTTCACTGTGTTGCCCAGGCTGGTCTCCGATTCCTCAGCTCAGGCAATCTGCCCGCCTCAGTCTCCCAAAGTGCTAGGATTACAGACAAATATGAGCCACCAAGCCCGGCCTAATTTTTGTATTTTTAGTAGAGACAGAGTTTTGCCATGTTGACCAGGCTGTTCTTGAATTCCTGACCTCATATGATCTGCCCGTCTTGACCTCCCAGAGTGCTGGGATTACAGGCGTGAGTCCCTGCACCTGGACAGGGGGTGCGTTGTGTTCATGCTTTGCTAGTCATCTTTCTTTTGTGGGAACTGAAGAGTGTTGTCCTTGGTAGCTTCCACAGGGATGGATTGAGGCTGCTGCCAGTATTTGTCCCACTGACTGTTCTTGGGGACCAGTAACCTAGATCAGAAGTCAGTGAGAAGACATAAAGAATGCCCCCAAAGCAGGGACTCTTTCCTTCGCTGTGAAGGCGCTGAGTCCCCAAGAGGCAGGTTTGTGTTCCCTCTTGTATTTAGTCCCCACGCTGCCTGCCTGTGTACTTTGGTGGTTGTCACAGCTGGGGTGTGCCACAGTGATCCTGCTCCACCATGGAGGATTGTCCAGTCCAGCACTCTCAGTGCCAAGTTTATTTATGTAAGACGGAGTCTTGCTCTGTCGCCCAGGCTGGAGTGCAGTGGCACCATCTTGGCTCACTGCAACCTCCGCCTCCCGGGTTCAAGCAGTTCTACCTCAGCCTCCTGAGTAGCTGGGATTATAGGTGTGAGCTACCACACCTGGCTGATTTTTGTATTTTTAGTAGAGACGGGGCTTCACCATGTTGGCCAGGCTGGTCTCAAACTCCTGACCTCAGGTGATCCGCCCACCTCGGCCTCCCAAAGTGCTGGGATTACAGGTGTGAGCCACTGCACCCGGTCTCGATGCCAAGTTTAAAAAGAGC